TCCTAACTGCCTACAAAGACGATATGCCAAACTTTCGCGCTGTTCATGCAGAGCTAGAGTTGTGGGAGATGAGCTGGAAAATGGCGATGAAAACGTAGAATACGACTTCATTGCTGATGGACGAGTGGTATCAAGTGTGATTAATGGTCAAAAACTTGTGTGCTTCATTTGATATATAAAAGGTTTCTTTGCGTTTCACGACAAAAAATATGCCATGCTTCTACCTTTTCAAAATCACTCGTGGATTGGAATGATACCTTCCTGATTGTAAGTTTTGGAGAAGGTATGAAACTTGATAATTAGTGATGAAAATGTTTAAGGGTAAGTGGAATTTTAGATTTTATATCATTGAAATTTGCGAAAAGTTTACAAACTAAGTAAATTACATGTTTGTAAATATAGATCGTCCAGGTTGGTATAGTCCTGAGAAGGACTGTTTTTGTTGTTGTTGACTGACGTTTCGACAACCTTAGCGGTAGGCATCTTCAGAGTCAAATGACGATCTACATTTGCAAACATGTAACGGTATTCCCGGGTTCAAACCATTTACTTTAAACTAAGGAAAGGCAACTTTTTTAAATTCTGTTCTCAAAACACCGGAAATCGCATTTCAGAGGGTCTAACATATAAAATTTCCCGGGGGGGCATCCTCTCAGACCCCTCTTCAAAGCTGGTGCGCCTTTGGCGCTCGCAATGGTGCATCAGTCACGAAAATTGCAGGATCCGCCCCTGGATGCAAGTGTCAATTAATGGTCCAGAAATTGATGAGTGTGGATCCTTTATCGAAACTGCTGTAAAGAAATGGTTACCCAACATAAAAAATTGGTAAACGTGAAGAAGGAACTTGTCATAAGTAAAATACCTACTGATATCTCTGCAGCTTTTGTTCAAGAAAACAACATAAATTTGGTGGAGGAGCCCAAAGATACACTTGTCAGTAACATTGACAACGAACCAGTAACATGTACTTGCAGCAACGTAAATGGTGATCCAAAAAATAAAATTGACTTCGTAGTTGCTTCCCTCAATCTTCCCTAAAGAGAAAGGGATTCTTTCAGTGATAGTGAAAGTGATGGTGACAGTGATTTGGTTGAGCTGTGAGGACTTTATTCGTTGCTTCATACCCATTTTTAATAATGGGGAAAATAGAGTGTTTACATCATTCACCAAGTTGGAGGAAAATCCCATATAGTGAAAAGATTTCTTCTAGTTTCATGCTCTGTTTAGCATCGGCACTTTGATGTACTCCCCCAACATGGCCGCTTTGACGTCACATGCAAACTCTCCATTGTTGTGTTACTTATTGTTACAGTTACAACAGCTAGATGATGATCATGATAATTAATTTTTAGTCAGTTGATTTGCATCATTTACATGTTTAAACTGCATTCAGATTCTATTTATTCAAATAAATATAGGTTAGAATATTATATTAATATTTATGAAACCCCTCTCTCTCTTTAATTTAAAAGTAACAATCAAAGTACACAATGGTTAAGCATGGTTATTTGTACTCCACTGACAACTAATGACCATCATTTCATTAAATTTTTATAAGCAGGCAGTTCGTCCATGCAATTCAGTTAACATCTTTAGTGTTTGTGTAAACTAATATTTGAGTAAATTTCGAATTGAATTTGAAAATATCCATACTCACAAGTATACTCGACCATGAGTTTTTAGACTCAAGACTGTCACAGTTATGGCCGGCTACTTTTTTGTCTCAGCCTCCTACTTCAAATAATTTTGAAACCCCTCTGTCTAGAACATAATGGCCAATTTTCATCTCATATAAATTTTATATTCATTAAATGAAACCCATTCATTATTGAACATGAAGCTGCATGTTTAAATAATTATCATAATTATCAATAATTTTCTCAGACATACAAGATTGTTCCCAAGTATGATATAACCAACACATCTTATACAAAACATTAACACATGGTGGACTATTCAAATTTACATTATTGAAGGTTTACTAGTCACGTTTTTGTCCCTGTGAGCAAATATTTCTTCAATATAAGCAAGTACTATTATATCTCGATAGCTTCTTCATTTCATTTTCATTACACTTGTCTATAAATTTTTCTTATCTACAAATTCTTGTACAATAGACGAAGCAAGAAAGAAGATTAGCTTAGATTGCTTTGCTTGATAGGCCAAGAGTATAAATAAAAAAATGTACTTAATAAACTAATGCTGTCTTCTGTAATGTTGAGTTACATTCAAACAGCTGTATTTACTTTCAAAAAGTTGATAATATACATTCATATAAGCCGCATACATATATGTCTATTATAAAAGTAAATTTTTTAAGATAAACAAGATTGTTGCAAAAGCAAAACATAAGCAACATAATGTTTTTTGAAACGGTCACATACTCAGAAATAGTGGACTGTTCAATCAATTTACAACATCAAATAATAGATTATAGGATCAGTTGAAAAATAATCATGCACCAATCAAATATTCACATATCAAATAAAGTTACTATATCTCAATGAAAGCTATTATTTCTCAATGTAAGCACTTTTGGATCTTGATGGGGATGGGATGGTTTCTCATCTTATTTTCATATTACACTTGTTTATATATTTGTCTTATTAACCCATTCTTGCACAATATTTGGAGCAAGAAATAAGATAACCTATTCAAATATTTGAGCTTAGATAGATTGCCTTGATAGGCCAAGTTCATAATAAAATATATTTTATTATATATTTATATATATAATAGATAGATCAAGTCTGTCTTTTGTATTGTTGAATATACATACAAACAGCAGTATTTTTCCTTTTATATGCAAAATAACTGTAGAAATTGACAAGATGCTTTAGTGGTTACTTTGTTTACGTCTTTATCCAAAAGCATATGCGCATCTCTCCATCATGAACTGAAGTATTTTATGTCCAATAGCGCAAACATGTCCCCTCGAACCTTTACTCCATATCATAATTACATAATACAAATTTTTCATCAACGTCACTATATTCGGCTTTAATATAGACAAAAACAAACTCCAACTCGTGTTTTAGGTTGTAGGGATGCCTTGCGATTTCGTTTTGATATTGAAGGTCATTGTTGTAATATAAAAAAAAAAAATCAGCTATTTTCTCAACAAAGCACCTTTCCAGTTGATGTACTGTATTTCACATCAATCAACAGCAAATATATTCCGGAAGTCAACAAAGCATGTTTTTTAATTTTTTGGTACAATATAATGATACCTTTGGTTTGCAAGAATATTGGTGCCACTTTTATCAAAAAATATTGAGAAAGCAATTTCATCGAGTGTAAGGAAAGTATTTTTAAAGGCAGCTTTTGTTTATGCAATGTGTTGCTTCTATTTAAAGTATATATTTTTTGTCTTTACAGGTTCAAATACGTTTCAACTAGACATAGGCCACGTCCGCACGAATCTGGATACATTTGAAACCGCATACTGAACTGTAAAACCGCACTAAAGTATTTCCGTCCACACGAATTCAATTGCGACATCGATTCTGTCTATTGTAAACATAAAAAAAGCGCGTGCAAGATTACAAAGATTGTGCTATCATGTCGAAATTTGGTAGAAAAGGGGGAAAATGATGAAACAGAACTATTATTAAATGTTATTAACAATTACAAAACGTCTAAAGCAGGCGAAAACGTCGACTGGCAATCAGTGCAATCAAAATACTCTGACATATTGAATTTATTTCAAGAGCAATATCCTTGTAAAGATAAAGCTGAAGAGAATGGCAAAGATTTTCCTCACGAAACAGTAGAAATAACAAAGGCTATTGTAACGACAAAGATGAAGAATATCCGTTCAAAATACAGACAGGCGATAGACTCCGGTAAGAAAAGCGGCCATGGCAGGGTTGTTATGCTATTTTTTGAGCTGTGCGAACATATATGGGGTGGTTCACCTGCTACCAAGACAATAATAAGTGGAATGGAAAGTGTAGACTTGACAAGAGAAATACATGATTATTCTACTGAAATCAGTGAGTCACGAGAATCAGATAATGATAGCTCTCATGAAGATTCTGTTGCTCAGCCTGCTGCCAGTGTAATAGATAAAAGAAGTTTTTTGGATTCTAAACTGAAAGGCTATAAACAAGAAAAACTCAAACGGAAGCTGTCAGCTGAGTCACAACTGCTACATATTGCCCAAGATGAAATTCAAATTAAGAAAAAGTTGATTGAGAAAATTGAAACCATGGATAAGATGCATGCTATACACATGAAGAAGCTTCAAGTCAACATGCAGCAATTAACAGGATCCATTGCAGATGGATTTTCAATGTTGAGACAAATAATGAACCAGCCTAATCAGCATCAACAAATGTCACATTACATGCCACCAGCATTGAACTATTCAAATGGTTTTATAAATCCTGCTTTTCAAGTATCACAATGTAATGCTGCTTTACAAAGCCAGACAGGAAAAACAGGTGTCTCATGTACACAAGACCCGCACTTGGATGGCAGTTCATCTTCAGATATGTTTTCCTCTTGATTTAATGTTTTTGTAGAACATATAAAAATCAACACCTAAAGACCTGTTGATGTGTGTTGAAAGTATTTATGTTAAAGTTTTGTTTCATTGACTCTCATTAACCATTTAAGTAAAAACATTTTGTCTGCTTTCATTTAGTTGTTTCTTTAAAATCTAGAAAGTTCAACTACATTCTTCCTTATCAGTTTTTTTCTTTAAAATATATAACTATTATATTTGAACAAAACTACTTTATGACTCTTGTGTGAATTTACATTTCCATGCCTACACACTGTAAAAGAGTATTTTATTATCTTGTGCTTTAATATTTGAATGTTAAAGTGCTACTGAAGTGAAATTTTGGGTATCGATTTTTTTCTATAATCAAATAGTTCTATCTTTCGTGATCACTTTGGTATAATTTTTATGCATATTGAATCACGGGATCATCAATAAATTTTTGCTCAGTTGGGTTACGCGTGCGAATTTTTACTACTGAAATACTATACGGATGTGACGTAATTAAAAGGACGGAAGTCGAAGTATGAGCATTGATTTACTAGTATTTTGTTAGATTTTTAACACATATACACAATAAAATATGAGTTCTTCAAGCAGTGAAAGCGAACGCAGTTCGGATACTGAAAACTCAGATATGGCAAATGAAAATTTACTTTCGAATTCCGGCGATGAGGATACAATTGTGGCTAATTCAGTTGTAAATCCTTACGAAAATGAACCTCTTGCGAACGCAGTCGGAGAGAATTTTGTGTCGGTCGAAGAAGACGCAGATGGCTTAGAACCTCGAACATTGGAAGCGAGGTTCAAAGGAACCGTTCAGTTAGATAAGTGGTAAGTTGATAAATGTTATTAGAACTCTAGAAGAAATTAAACCATGAATTAAACATGTTATTTTGTCCTTATGTCGTGGTGCATAAATATGATAACAAATCACTTTTTTATAGGTGTGCATGTAGCTTGGGTCGTACTCAACTGCTGACAGATGCCATTGAATACCGTTGTTGTCAATAGGTTGGGCCTACTTTACATAAACTGGTATTCGATGGTAGCATTGAAAAAATTAGCTGTGTTACTCTTCACGAAGAGTACACGATTATGACACATGCTACAGTCTTGAAGAATGTTGGCTCACTTCTAAGAGACCAAGATGGAAGGTCATACAAGCGTCGTAGAATACATGAAAATGAGTTAGTACATTTTTGATTTCTAATTTTGTTTTGTAACGAATGATTAATATCTTGCCATGTATCTCTACTTTTTACCTTTATGTGGTTCATTATTGTGCTGTGATGCTTCACAATTTTGTTGTGTGAAGTCAAAATAAATAATCAAATAGAAATTACTATTTTGAATTTCTCAAAGATACTTGAGAGCAGTTGCATACCGTTGGGTCATTCGATGGCTGTGTGGATGCCTTGGTTGGGAAAATTCTAGACCATTACCTGCATGTATCTACACAGACATCCGAAAACGATTTCCATTACGAAATCCCCTAGGCCAAGAACATGCTGGCTACAAGTCAGCACAGGAAAGAAACTGATAGAAGTAGGAAACATTTTTTGTAGCATAGTATATTATTTTATAACTAACTTTAAAGTTGGCCTGCTAAGAATATTTGTCAAGTAATTCTTGTGGACAATGACTTTTTGGATGTCCTTTCATTGGCTGTCCACAATTTTTGCATAAGCGCGTTTTTTTTGATCTGAAGGACCTGTTGAAGCAGCTTGTTTTTCTTTGTCTAAACCTTTTGCTTGCAGTACATCTTGCTGTTGATCTATAAATAACAATTTAATGTGTTTACTTTTAGAATGCACTAGCCATACCTATTATACATGGTAGCATGAACAACTTACATGTGGGAAACAATGGTGTTGAAGATAGTTGTTTCCTATCCAAATGCCGTTGGATTGCCTCAGTTTTGGAAATTCGATCCGAGAACGTTTTGTTTAAGGCTTCTGGAACTTTTTCCTTATACTTCCTAAATACGTTGTCCATGGATTTGTCACAACTAAGAGCCATGACATTTTTGATTTCATTAACATAGTCTGGAGAAATGACAAGTGGTTAGATGTGTAAGTCAAGAGTACCAATGCATACATGCTAAACTTACAATATGATGGTACTGAAGAAACAGTTCTTACTACTTCATCCCCTGATTTAAATTTTGGGTGTCACAGAATAATATGGTGTTCCATTTTTTGTTTTTTTTGGCTGTCTGTGAAGGTTTTCATTGAAATGAAGTACTGCCAGTACGTGCCTAAACAGAACAAACCATTTACTATGTAATTTTTTTTCTTGACTAGGAACAAGTAAAAAAGCCTTGGCAGATAGAGAACAGTGATTACAAGTTACCTGCAATATGTACCAAGCCAAGAAAAGTGGGTCATCTTTGGATGCCAGCCATTTACTGTTGAATGAAAACCTTCGAGACAACTAGTTTGTGCTTCTGAAGATAGTTTTTTAACATCTTTGAGAACAGATTTTTTCAACAGAATGGAGGAAAGTCGCTGATATGATTTAGTTCCTTAAAAAGAATACAATCCCATCTGAAAAGTGCTAAATAACATTTTAGCCATTTTAACAATCTCAATTCTGTCTTGCTGCCTAAATGTGTGCATGCTCATACCAACTTGAAGCCATAGACGTTCATCTAGCTCTCCATGAGCACACTTAGGAAACAACTCATCTGGATTGTTTTCATGCTTCTTTGTAATGTGCCTAGCAATGGATTTCCATTTTTCCACAATCATATCTCCATATCCCATCTTAGTAGACATAGCCGACCAATATAAGTGGTTGCGGATACCTTTAATCCAAAACACCAGCAACTCACAGCCTTTTTCTTTACTAGCCTTTAATATTGTTTTGGAAAGTCCTTGGCAAACATGCCACAAATCATTGAAGTGCTGGGTTTCCTTCTCAGATGTTTGAATCCACTTTGCAATCCCTTTGTGACGATCGCTAATAAATATTGGAATTTGTAGTCCACTATCTTGAAGAAACTTCTGAACCGCTGAAGGATCACCAATTTCAGATCGTACCTCCTGGACATCGCCGATATTAAAAAATTCATTTGGCTCATTACTGGATTGAGAACTGTCACTTTCAGTATCGGAATCATCACTTTCCTAAAACGTAGAATAGGTAACAGTGCGTAAATTTCCAATGGTCTTTGACAAACGTTGTATAAAATGTATTTACACCAACGGGTCAAGTTCTGACTATTTCGTAAAGAACCTGTTATTTCAAAAAAAAAATAAATAAATTTTATACAAAGCACCTTATTCTCAATACATTTATTTACCACCTATTTCAAGAAGTAAATACGTACCATGATTAAACTGTCGCTCAGCCTTTTTTTTGATTTTTTTAACCAACTGAGTTTCTTTTGTAGTTTTGTAACTTTTTTGGCAAGTATGCCGCATCTACTGCACATTTCAACTTGCTCTTGTTTTGGCAGCGGTTCTGGTGAATCCTCTCTAACTGGTTCACTATCAACTCTTTCTGTCGTGTTACACTCGTCACAATTCCCTTCATCATCAGTATGTTTAACAGCGGGTTCAACATCTTTTACATTTCGTGTTACTTCACGCAACACCTGTTGAAGATAATAAGACACATTTACATGCATTTCCAGGTTGTGCATACAAACTTGTGTAATTTAACTTGTATAATTTTGTACTTAGTACTCTGCGGTCGCGATTGCCCTTATCACCTTGGATTGAAATGCCTTTTACAGAGTCTATGGTTGGAACAGCATCAGAGCGCAATTGTCGTCTCATTTTTAGCGATTTTGCAACTGTTGCATTCACGGTGAATGCAGAATCTGCGAAATGCATTGAACATAGCACAGAGTACTGCTGAGGAACGAATTTTGGCCTATGTCTCCTAACAAATTTTGTCCATTTACTCAGCCTCTCCTTGTCATTCATGGGGAAACGATGTACTGAGACACCCTCTGTGTGTTGACTGTTTGTACAACTTTTTCCGTTGGGCCAACCAGTATGGGGCGTCGAAGCGGACAAAACTGCTATATTGCAAATGTTAATGCTAACTGAAAATATTCATGCTAAGTTCAAATAAATTCATGCTAAGTTCAAAAATTCATGCTAAATTCAAAAATTCATGCTAAGTTCAAAAATTCATGCTAATTAAAATTCATAGTCTACCCGCAACACACCTGAAAATCGTGGGGTGAAACTCAAACATTGCATAATCTAAGGAGGAAATATGGCAGAAAGGAATAACTTCTCGAGTTTTTTAGATATTTTGAAGGGTATTCTTTCTCAAATACAAAATGTGTATGAGGAAGGGCCACTTACTGACAACCGCTCTGCTTCCTTTGATGCTCTTGAAAACTTGTCAGTGAAAATGGACGAAGCATGTGATACTCTGGTAGTTTTACTCAATGGTTTGAATCCAACACATTTTCTATGGGAGCTAATTTTTCAACTTCTTCAAACTTTTTTTGCGTTAAAACAGTATATTGACGAAGAAAATAACCAACTTCAAAATGCCAAATCGTTTGTACAGCCTTCAAGTGTCCTAGTTTCCTCTACGACGTGTGGTGAAGGTCGGCCCCGCTATGATATTAATGAAGAACAGGTGCTGTTCTTAAGGTCGAAGCATTTTACCTGGACAAAAATTGCTCAGATTCTTCGTGTTTCTGATCGTACCTTACGAAGAAAAAGACAGAATTTCACTGTGTTAGAACAGAACTTCTCCAATATATCTGACGCTGATCTTTGTAAAATTGTAGAGAGCATACGCCTCCTCACACCTAACATAGGACAAACTCGTTTACTTGGGGCCCTTAGATGTAGAGGGTTGAGAATTCAAAGGTGGAGTGCGGAATTGTCTAAGAAAATTAGATCCGATTGGTACAGCACTACGTGGCCATGTAGCCATCTATAGAAGAAAATACAGCGTGCCATATCCCAACTATTTGTGGCATCTGGATGGCAATCACAAACTCATTCGTTGGAGAATGGTTGTAAATGCATGTATAGATGGTTTCAGCAGGCTAATTATATATCTATCTTGTCAAAACAATAATTTAGCTTCAACGGTCTATTCTTTATTTCAACGTGGGTATCCGCACATGGTTTGCCAAAAAAATAAGAACTGACCATGGCATGGAGAATGTACATGTAGCCAGGTACATGCTTCAACACAGAGGAACAAATCGTGGCAGTGTACTCACAGGAAGATCTGTTCATAATGTAAGAGTGGAGCGTCTCCACCGGGATGTGTGCACAAATGCTCATGCATACAGCTGAAACATGAAAAATCTCCAAATGAATTTTATTTAGCTTTTTTTGGTGCAATGATACATATATGTAAACATTTAAGTTTTGAAAATTAAGGAACATTGTAAATTGTATCATCAATTTTTAGTACTTCAATGATCAAAGGGTGCCTAGACTGTATTAGCTAAAGAGTAAAACCGGAAGTTCTGGATAATATGTGAAAATGTAAATTGTTGTTTCATGCAATAAAACATCAGAAAGTTGAATGAGTATATAGTTGAAGGTCGTTTTCGGAAATGCTTTTTACTTTGACTGCTGCTGTTGTGCTTTGGTTTATTGACTGGCGATTGAAAATAAAGAAATATGGCACACCTGTTTGATCAAATGCATGCAGACACAGTAAAACTAGAAGAGATTGATCACTGTGACATTATTTGATTGTGGTGGAATTTCTCAGTAAAAAGATTCAAAAGTTACGAAGATCTCAAATGATGGAAGTCAACCTGACCCTTGGACATATCATGAAAATTGTTTAGAAATGATGACTGAGGAAGATCGATGGTTCCTTTTTGCTGATCTTGCACAGTGTGTAATCAAGTGAGAACATGTCTGGCATGGTATATCAGAAGCCTTCAAATTTATAAACTACCTAGGACCTTTCAATATCGGAAGTTGTACTTCGAAAATCTGTTAAATGCAACCTGGGTAGTACTGATGTTAATTTATACGGAGACAAAGAGACCTCTTTTCAGCATCTTTTTGATTTTATTGACAGTAGCTGTAAACTGAAGTATAAATCAACTCTGTAATTGATAAATAATAAATTTTCTTGATATCATAATTTGCTCTCAGTTGTATGTCTGTTACTTGATGAACACGTTTATGAAAAAATGTGTTTTGAAAAGAGCATAGATTTTAATTTATAGCATGACAAATTTTAGCTGATTTACTAAGCTTGTTCTTGTTATATTGATAACAAGTCTTTAACATAAGTGAAAAAATCAGTTTCATGAGAAGCTCTAATTTTAAGTTAACTTCTCCAGCCTATGAAAATTCATGTAAAACAGTTATTAAAAAATTTAACAAAATATAACAAAACTTCTCTGGCTTGCACATATGTACAACTGATATGGTAAGCTCTCTCCCATAAGCTCCATCCAAGGGAAAGCACATTGTGTGGTGTGGATTTCTTACAAGGCAATCATGGTCAAAATTTAGAGTAATCGAATTTTTGTCTTTAGGTAAAATATGTTTATGTCTTTGGCCATTGAGCCATCCCATAACACCTTTTACAGACATTTCTGGCAATTCAAATAATTCTTCTGAGTTTTTGTCATTCTCTTGTCCATCACATTTCTAGGTAACTGCTTTTGAATACCACAATACTTATGTGTCTTCTAGAGAGATTAATACATCTTGAAGATTGTCTAGTGCAGTGTGTTCTAAGGCTCACTTTGAATGCTATTGCTAACAAACATTACTTATAGGAAATTTATAAAATCTTCAACACGACTTCCCTCAACAACTCCAGTGCATCCCATTATCCAAAATGAAATCACGGTGTTTAGTATAATCATGTCTAATCTCATAAAGTTTTTCTGTTTCTTTTTTGGTTAGATATTTATCATCAACTTCTGTCAAATCAATTTCCACAAAGATGCAATTATAGGCACATTCTTCCAAGAAACATGGTGGTGGCCAACCTTGTGCAAGAGATGGAGCAGCTATATCAACACTTGTGTGAAAGTCTCCATTTTGGACATGAAATGTGAAGTTAATATGAACACCATTCTCAAACAGTTTTGCTGATTTGTTTGCAACTGTATCTGTAAGGAATTCTTTTGCAATGGCTTCAGAATCTACTCCTGCTTCTCCACAGTAATTTACTATTATTCTATTGGTTGGTAAATTTTTCTTTGATTGACGCTGCCAAAGTAAAAAAATTCTTGAGATATCTGCCTTTCTTTGTGTAGTTATATGAAACTGGTCACTATTATTCTCTTTTGAAGAGAGAGCATTTATGACATCTTGCTTATCATATATTAAGGAAGTTTTTGCATTCATAATGATTTTTGAATTTTCTGAATCAGGAGACTTGAATGTTGAAGCTAACTCATTTTCTCTATTCCATTGCAGTTGCAACTGCCTAGTTATTTCTTCATCATTACAAATACATTTAGCAGATTAAACTACATTTGCCTTTGTCTTGCAAATTGTGGATGCATTATCTTCTGAAACTGATTCTGTATGCACTTGGAAGTGCTGGTCATTTTCTTGATTAGTTGATTCACCAGATTCATTTGAGATATGAGTTATGCTTTAATTCAGATCAAAGTCAAACTGAGTGCCCAAATATAAAGTTATGGGCTTATAATATCTTCCAATTTTAAAGTGTATAAAAACATTCGATTTTTGTATAGTTTGAAAGAACAGTTCTTGAAAACTACAAATGTAAAAAAAATAAATGAATTGAGATCAAAGCTTTCTTTGCAAATTACAGTTTAAAAGTCCAGATTTTCACTACATTTATTTCCCAATGTGGTCTGGTATCAAGTACATGTTGTAACATCATGTAAAGAAACAGTCGCGTAGGCTCTATTCAAAACAAGTTATTTGCATTTTAAATCAATATTTTTGCCTTTATTTCGAGTTTTGTGTCGTTTTTTTTAAAATGTCCTCATCTGGGTCGGAAAACCGTTTATTAGTGATAAAACGTGTGGACTCCATGCTGATGAGTGCGAGGTTGTTCAATAGCTCCTGACCCATGCCAGCTATAATTTCGGTTTTAAGAAACTGAAGATTTGAGAATGACCTTTCTCCAGAACAGTTTGAGATAATCAAACATAGATAAATTTTTAATGCGACCATTATATTAGGAAATACTGTCTCCAGATTGTTGGCAAAAATTAGAAGGTAGGATCGTAATTCCAGGTAGTAATATTAGTCCGTGATCTGAGGCCGATTTTCTTTCATTCCGGTTGGAAACCTCAAGAAAGGTCGTGAAAAGTTCAAGATAGTACGCCTTCTACATGCTTAATACAATTTTACTTCTTGTCCTCTGCAAAAAGCTGCAGTTTTATTGCTACATTACATTGAAATTTTAAAATTTGTAGCTCATTACAATTCCGGAATCTGCCATTATTCCTGGGAAACTTCATGTAATTTATATTTTCTGTGCTCGTGCCAGACCTATAAAAGAGCTATTCCACTCGGTTAAATTGACAACTTGAGTAAGATTCATAAAAAAATAAATATTTGACATGTGCATTAGGTTGGATTTAAGCAATTTTCGCGAAGATAATATTTTGAAAGTCATGAGAGTATTGTGCAAGACAAGGCGCCCGTTTTCTAAAGGTGCATTGTCACACAGTTGCGACTGCTAGCAAGTAAGGATAGGGACGATTTTCTTTCAATTTTTAGACTTGTAGACATTCTAGCTATTTCATATGCCTTTCATTACTGGGAAAGTTTATTGCATGGTTAAAAAAAACAGAAAAAAATGGAATTCATTCTTCAGGTGGTGAGCTTCTGGTATTTTTTTCATATGCTACCCTTGATACAGTTGACAGAGTAGTCTGAAGCTGCGCACAGATTAAAGGCATTACGCCAACATAACAGCACAAGCCAACGCTAGTCGTCATTCAAGGGCGGTGACAAGTGCGCGCTTTTTCTAAAGGTCTGCCTTGAATTCATCGTCCATGTCATCGTCTAAAAACTCCTCTTCCTCAACATCATTGTCGTCATCAATATCGACATTCGCGCATGCAGTACACGAGCATGCATCTGTCCACTTCACTCCTGCTTTATTACACGAACAACGTTGTGAGTTGCAGCCAGTCTTATATCCACAATGAACATTATCAAGTAGGAAATCCGGCACTGGGGGAATGGTCATCCACGCGATTTGCAATTTCCCCTCAATTGTTTGCCACGTCATTTGTAGATGTAAACAGGAACGCCAAATTGCCGCTTGGGAGTTTGACCGACGAATATGTTAAAGCAAACTGTCACAAGTTGGTGGTAGTTGCTCATCTGAACATTTTCCTGCCTTGAACAATGAGAACTGACATTTGTTGACTTCCTCAGAATTCTTGTCCACATACAATGAACAAACTAATCAATGAAAGCGAGTACATGCCAAGACTGTACGACAAAACATTTGCAATGTCATTTTCACAAGGGTTTAGTTTCGGGTAAAGAGGATGAATCAAGTGTGGTTTGATGGACCAGTGTTTGGCAGAATTAGCATATGCATTATATATGGCCATCAAGGTTGTGCAGGCCACCGTGGAACAACAATCAATCCAGTGCTCTCCTTGCGAATCTTTTGTAGAACTAAATGGAGGGAAAGCATAAAATAAATATGGTTTCCACGAAATTGTAAAAGCTTCAGGATCCGGCTGATAAGCACTGAATGGTTTCACTTTATGATTAAGTCAAGAACCAAATAAATCAATAACTGGTTTGACATTTAACCAATCTATCCTTCTTTCATCAGAAATTTTATCTAAAGCCTACTGGTCATATCTACAGGAGACTAGGAACAAGAAATTTTAACCGGGGGGTAATATTGTAAGAAGAGACACTGTTTACCACATGGTGTTTGCCACTGGTAATTCGCTCGTGTTTTAACACATTTGAAGTATAGTTATAAGACAAAATAAGTGAACTTTAGTTAAACGAAATGTTTTGCGCTGGTTGTGGATACAGTTTGCAGGCTTCCTTTATATTCTGTCCGTGTTGTGGTAGAAAGAGGAACAGCACTAGTGATACAATGATTCGTAATTTGCAAGTTAATACTTCGGTTAACAATGACTCGGCTTCTTCGTGTCCCAGTTCTACAACTTCGCCTTCTGGTGGTTCGTTTGCTTCTCTGCCAAGTTTGTCAACATTCATGAAGGTAAAGGAAACCGAGAGACGTTCGCACTTCGAGCCGAAATTAAAAAAATCCCGTTTATCTAAAAACGTTAAGGACGACGTTTTAATTAATATCGGGCTGATGGAGTACGAGGGAGAGGAGCCCAAAAGAGTTTTTGGAAAGACGTTTCCAGTAAAAGTTGGAAAAGCTATGAATTATGATGAGTTGCGGCAGGCTGCTTTGAAGAAATGGGAAGATTAAGACCGTAAGTTTTCTCGTGATCGTGGATATGTTTTGGTATATCCAGATGGTAAATTGGCCAATACTATTCCAGGCAGTTCAGAAACGTTTACGATGTGTAAATATAAAGATGATCTAGGCAAAGCATATTCTCGAATTACTTTGTATCTTTGTCCAGTGGGTCCATTGAAGGAAAGTAGTGGCAGTGAGCTTCCAATATCGGAATATTTTCAAAGTGAATATGAGGTAGATGACGAATATTTGGTATATGATGAAAATAATGAAGGCTTACAGCCTTCAGATGTCCAACTAGGTGCTGTTCAAATTGAAGATGACCATGACGTAATTCAGTCATTTTCTGTGGAAGATTTTATGTAAGTAGTATTGTATTGATTAAGCTAAAGTTTTTATTTTACATGTATCAATGTGCTTTTTATTCAGGCCAATGGGTTTTGATAAGAACAAAGCTGTTAAGGAGGCCATAAGAAAAAGCTCAGATCAGCAGGAATGTTCAGATAGTGGTCAGCATGTTGAAAATTCTAATGAAGAAAAACAAAACTTAGATCACAAAACTCTCATGCACCACATAATAGAACATGCCAAGGCTGAAGTTAAAGGAGAGCTTCGGAAAATTGTAATCAGTAGGCTGAATATTTGGGGTACAACAGAACCATATTTCAGGCGAAAAGGCTTTTTGAAACAAAAAGGCACACTGAATGTCACATTTGCTGCTATTCAAACTGAAGAGGAAGAGGATGCGATTGATAATGGTGGTCCTCGGAGAGAGCTTTTTCACCTACTTATCAAATCAATCATCAAAGACAGCAAATGTTTTTTAGGTAAGGCTATTGTAGGTCAATGTGAAAATCATGTGACATCTAAAGATGCATTTATTTTCTATTTCATACCGGTAACAGGTACGTCGGTTGGCAATGTTATCAGATGTAATGTTATGGCTTTTCAAAATAGAAACTTTGAAATTGTTGGACGCATGTTTGCCACAATGATTCTTCAAGGTGGTGAACTGCCTCGTGTTCTTTCAAGTACAGTTTGCAAATATATTGAAGGTGGAAACATAGAACCAAAGTTGAAATAACTGTAAGGAATTCTCTTAAAAAGGTAAGTTGTATCATATTTAAATATCATAGTTCTAAGTATTCATTTCAGTACTGCAAACTTTTTATATGTTTGTGGTCTTTTATCTTGACTTCTTTCTTGCAAATCTTTGTCTTTTCAAGCTAATTTTCCCAACACTGCTGAAATGTTTTCAAACTTTTTTACCTAATGTTTGCCATGTTTTACGGAAAATTGTTAAGCCTGCATTTCCTAAATATTTAAATAGTGAATTTGCTATGGGAAAAATTTTTATGCCTGTTTTATGTATTTTCAGTTGCAAGAAGCAGACACCCAACAAGATGTAAACAATGCCTTTGCAGAATGTTCAGACTGGCGTGTTGAAATTGATGGCCTACCATCATCTCTTAAACTAGAGAATAAAGACCTTTTTGTGAAAGAAGTCATAGAATACTTTGTTGTGATCAAATGCAAGCCGATGTTTGATCAGCTGCTTGATGGGTTGAAATATTACAATGTCAGTGCTGAGTAATGAGTTGTTTATCATCTAAGATAAAAGTCACCAATATCTTTGTGGTAAAAAATTTTTTGTGTAGGTGTTGGAACTACTTAGAGCACATAAAGGCATGGCACAACACGTTTTCATGTATGACCCAGATGATAAACTGGATGTGAAAAAGCTGCTTAAAATTTTAAAACCAAATTTAGCACCAATTGGAAATATAAGGAGGCAATCAGAGGAAATAGTGATGGCAAAATTTATTTCATTTCTAAAGGCCGCAGAAGGTTAAAACATGTTTTCCCTTATTTTAATACTGCCATAATTCTCATGCTTCAGTAATATACATATATATATTCTGTGTTTCCTAATCTATTTTGACTCATGAACCACTGCCATTATGTAATAAGTTAATTACTTGTTGACTCCATGATGTGTTTTTGTATGACACTGAAGGTTTTAGTCAAGAAAGAATTGTTTCTTTTTTTTAATTAGGAGGTACATTATTGCAAGAATTGGCTGATGAAGAAATTGAGCTGACTGAAGACGAAAAAAAGTATATTCCATCGGTAACACCAAGCCACATGTTAATGTTTACAACTGGTGCAGCAAATGTCCCTTCAACTGGCTTTGAACCAAAACCTTCAATTGTTTTTGTTCATGATGACAAGAAAATGATTCCAAGTGCACAGACATGCTCTAACACGCTTAATATTTATGTAAATGAACACACACAAAAGGGCAAGCTCTTGCACTATCTCTTGATTGCATTGATGAATGGAGCCATTTTTTCAAAACTATAATAAAATTGGTGCAACTGAAATATTACTTTAATATTACTTTATGGTATGTGATTAGTAAAACATTCAACATTGATTAAGCAAGTAATTGTGTTCTCATTATGGGCACTGTCATGCTTGTTGTGTATATTACACTTTTTACAGTTTTTGAAAAATTTGTTGACTGAATAAACCTTGAGCACTTTTATGTATTTTTAACTGAAACTTGTCCCTGAGCAATCTTGCACAAGCTATGATATCTAGCCAATGCCTGCCTCCAATTTTCTGGTTTCAATAAACCTAATTGTTCTCCAATAGTTTGGAAGTATTCCTGAATAATACTGTCTTCTTCATATTCATTACAATATTGAATCATTTCTTGAAGTTGTTCATCAGAAACTGGCTTGAGGTGATCAAATGCCTGTGTACACTCGGGCAGAAAAAATAGTTCATCTGGCCGTCCTTCAACTGTGTCAAATCTTGGACTTTCATATGTAGTGAGAGTTCCAGTGTCGCATAACAGAGTTGAAATCTTCTTGCAAAAGATCAGAGAAACTGTACCACAAGCATTCCTTTTCCATCTCAGAAGATGTGTCCAAGACACCAGTCACAACAAGATCTTTAAAAAAATTCATCCACCAGTTACCTCTTGGATGAATTTTGTGCTTTCTTAAGAATGACCACCAGGACTCAATGCGCTGATATGCTGGTGATGAGCCATATCTATGTGCCTTAACACCAGCCAATTCATCTTCACACATACTTCTTAAATATGCCTGCATTGCAGACATGATAACGTTTTCAGTGCCATTATCTGTTCATAATAGAGTTGGGCAACCCTGATACTTAGTGACAGTGTCTAAGAAATGCTTTCCTGTTACTGCAGGATCATTATTTGTTCTGCATACTTTCAACCACAGTATCTTACGACTATATCCGTAGATACATCCATGCACTGGAAAGCCGTATGGTTTGAGGTTATTGTAGCCATCTACATGCCAAACATAGTTTGGCCCTGGAGAATGATAAATTCGTCGACGAAGAGTGCCAGACTTCCTTAAGTTTACCCCTTCTGGGTCCAGTTCTTTCACCAAAAGTCTGACCGTCTCGCGAGGAACCTGCATCCCTTCTAGCTTCAAGGTATGAGTAATGGAACGATAACCACTGGAATTTCCAGGTCCATCAAGTTCCTGCCGAATACGCTGGCGAACACTGTTCAAATCAAACTCAATGTTTTTTCTTCGTAAACCAAGCGCTCGAAGTCTTGTGTGTAAAGTTCGTAAAGACATATCAATATCATGATATCGCCTTAAGAGAAGCAGGATTTTTTCATATGCAAAACCTTGCGTAAAATAGTTCTTAATTACATCGTCTTCGCCTTTAGGAGCTTCTTCGTTTTCCTGCATTTTAGTTTGTGGTAGTTGGTATTTAATTTTAATTTACAAGGCAATAAACAAAAATCCTTTTATTGTCACCCCCCGGTTAAAATTTCTTGTTCCTAGTCTCCTGTAGATATGACCGGTAGGCTTTGTTATTGAACTTTGATTTTGCATTGCGATAACTGGTTTTGTGCATTTGGTCAGTTTTATTTTGCATTGCAATATTCAATTTGTTTATAACTTTTAGTTTGATTTGCATCGTGGCAAATTTGTTGTGCATTCAGCACATTATTTTTGTATCAATACATTGTTTTTGAATTTAAGACAATGTTTGTGCATTGACAAATTAATTTGTGAATTGCAGATACGGGCCACCGTACCTTCTTCATCCATAATCAACACTTCCTCTGAATAATGTAATTTAAATTTTTTTCTGGTTTGCTTTTGTAAATGACCATATGAAGGTTTTTACACAACTGATTTTCCGATTCACACACTCTCACATATAATGCCACATTACTCCATAGCGACCAGACCAATGACGCAACAGAATTAAGGACTTGAATATAGTTTTTCATAATCTAAATCGAAGAAAAGCTAGAATATATTACTGCGACATTATCTTTATGGATTTATTCGCGATTTATTACAGCTTAGCCCGTATAGTGGGGAATGTTATATAAGGAGTAGTTGAATGGCTCGAAAGATCTATGTCCAAAGAGAAAGGATCAGAGAAAGTCGTCGGAGAATCAATTCTATTGGAAGAAATATGTGAAGGAGGTATGCGATTTGTAGAAGAGTTTATAGCGTTCCCCTGCCAAATTATCTTTGGCATATTGACTAAAACCATAACTTATATCTTGGCAATTTGTTATCCATGGTTGTATTGACAGGTTTAGTTGGGCAGTCATTTACCAAGAATGTTGTGCTGATAACAGAGCTCAGACAATTGCAGATCTTTTTATAAAAGGAATTGATGAATTCGGTTTGCCTTCGAAGTTTCGTGGAGATCGAGGTGTCAAAAAGGTTGAGGTAGCCAGGCTAATGATATCACGTCGCAGTGAGAATAGAGGAAATTTCATTGCCGGGCAAATTGTGCTGCATAACCAAAGGATAGAATGGTTGTGGCAGAAGTAAACAGGGTTCTTTCTGCTCTATACGTTGGTGTCTTCAAATTCATGGAAAGCAGAAACCTGTTATATCCATTAAATGAGCATCATCTATTTGCCCTTCACTTCGTCTTCAAACCTCGTGTAAATGCGTCACTTTTTGGAATTTAGGGAGCAATGAAACAATTATGGAGTAAGGACTACTGGTCACCAAACCCCAATGACACTTAGGCATACAAGCATGATTCCTGTTGCAGATGAATTCCCTATTGTTAACTTCGAGGAATACGGTCTGGATTCAGATGGCCCAGTTCCAGACCTCGATGATAATTATGTTCTGCTACCAGAAAACATACTGCAGCTGAAGGAAAAACAACTGGAGGTTCTATGTAGTGAAGTCAACCCTGTAAGCAATGATGGCAATTATGAAATCAATCACTTCATGCAAACACTTGATGTTGTCGACACATCTCATGTTCAGTGATTGAACTAATTAATGATCAAAAATCGAGGTGAGCAACCAATATAAATAGAGAATAAATATTCATGTCATTATAGCAAACAATCATATATTTGAAGCAATGTTACCGTGTATGAATGTATGAAACTTAATTACATGTTTGTGGATGAAGGTCGTCCAGGTTAGAAAAGTTCTGAGAAGGACTGTTGGTATTGATACAAAAAAGTTTTTTGAATTTAAAACAAATACTTTTACATTTTACTGTACAATGACTTGATCCCCCTTGACAAACATATCAGTTGTCAATAGAACACTATTTACATCTCGAGCATAAAGCAATCTAATTCTCTAACCTTTGTTTCATTTAAAATGTTAAGCAGCTGGACACTGGTCATACATACACTGGTTTCTGTGCATATCATCTGTGGAGGATAACACCATCAGGGCTAATGTTGGTGCAACCAGAGTAGAATGGACTGATGTAAACAGTTCTACATCTGTACCACTTAGAATTTTTCCATCAAAGGTGATCAATATATTAGTTTCAAGAACAGCGGCTGACAAATCTTTTGATAACCGACAACCTAAAATCATGTGACCATTTTCCTTCAACAGTTCCTTGCCATGGAACTGTGTTGTATTTGGGACCACTCAATAGGATCAAATCTCTCAAAAATTGTCTATTATCAGTAGCAGTTGATCAACAAGTTTGCCTTTTTGGTTTCTGACAACTGGTCTACTAGTGGGAAAATAGTGCCTTGATTGAAAAGCAGTTGATGAATTTCTTCTAATTGGGAGGCCATTCTCCATTGTAGCTGTTGATGCCATTTGATTAGGATGATGAGTTGATTCACTGTGGCAATTCGTGTCAGCATTTCTTCAAAATGTATTTCTCACTTTTGAGCTTACAGAATTGTTAATACAAATACAACTTGCCAAAATTTTGCACATAATTTTGAAACAAACACATGTTCTTAACGCGATACTTCATGTAGGAAAAAAACTCGTCATATAAAGTTTGTCATATAAATCTCATCAATTAAATCTTGTCATATAAATGTCGTCTTATACAACTCAACAATAATAATATAGTTCTCACATGGCATTGTAGTAATTTTGACTCCCATTTTATTAATCTTGAATACATTTATAGTAATTCTAATACGACATATAAATCTCAATACACTTTTGGCAGGTTTGACTTGCCATATATAATAAGTGTAAATTATATCCTCTGTCTGAGTACAACTGTGAGTCTTTATTCTTCAGCGTTCACGAATCCAACAATGACTGACAATAATTTTCCAAATAGAATAAAAGCACAGATAGTCTGGCAGCCAAATGCCAAATAACAACATAAGCTTGCAAACGCTTCCATACAATCTTTTTCTACAATTTATTAGTATATGGTATAGTCATATAATCCACCTGATGACATCTTATTCAGTTTGAGCATTAAGAAACATCAGCTGCTCAGTTTTTCCTAATACACAATATTAACAATTTTTGTGGTTGTGTACTAAGTGTTTATCATTACTTTTTTGAAAAATTTGTCATAGATGTGACTATTCAACATGCAACACAGTGAGTAAAATTATGAATAAAACAGACAAAAATAAACTAAAATAACTTAAATAAACTTACTTTTGAAGTTTTAATTTATGGCTTCCAACTATTTTTCGTATGAGTCCAGGTCACTGCTTAATAAGCTAAATTCAGTCGCTCTTGGAGGTTTTGTTAAAACTGTAAGTACTTCTGCCAAAAAGAGCTTAAATTTGTGTATTATTTATTGATTTTATTTAAAAGAAAGGATGATATAACGACAAGATCTATTTTATGAGTACCACCTGAGTATAAAAAATGCTTTTTCAGCTGAAATGGGTACTGTATTTGATAAATTTGCTTACAAACAACTAAAAACAAAAATTGGATACAGAGTCCTTATTTCAGTTTCTTTTTTACCTAGAATGCGTGATGTGAATTTTAGTTTATACAATTTTCATATAGCAAAAATAAAAATGGATAATGTTTTCAATCTACAGACACAAAAAGCGTTTATTAGAACTTGTATCGATATGTATATTGCAAGAGCCATTAATGAAAAATTCATGTTATTTTAAGTGGAAATACAACTGTGATGACAAAAGTGATCTGGCAAAAGCCGGTCCTGCCCACATCAAAACAATAATAAAGTTTTTGAAAGAATATAAAGACAATGTTCATGTTGATTTAGATAGTAATCTGAAGGAGAATTAAGAATTAACTATCCAG